CGAGCGTAAAAAGAAGCACCTCTTCTGCATTTATGTCCTCTCGCCTCCTCATGGGATGCTCTGAGAAGAGGAAAGAGACCATTCTTTTCGAGATGGAAGGCACCACAGGCGCCACCAGGTCTGGGCTGCACAGTATTTTTAGTGCGATCTGATAGCCCAGGCTCCATGCGTTTCAATTCTCTTTAACGATGAGTTCGAGCCAGTATTGGCTTTTGCTCATCGTGATGACCCTCACCAAGACTTTCTTTGCTTTTCTGGACACAGATACATCCTCCTCCGCGTCCTTATGACTTCTATGTTGCTATGTAAAACGGCGCAGGCACTGTGCCTCTTCACGCTGGCTGGCAATTTCTTTGGTCCATCAGTAGCACAAACGCTGGCATCGTCCGATGGTTCTAATGTCACTCACAAGAGCTTCGATCTCCACTGCACTTGTAATCTTGTTTAAATCAGCAGGAGTAGGCGTGCCTGCCATGGCCTCTTGCAGCGGATCTGGATTGAGCTTCGCTCTTCTACGAAGCTCCGCACATAATTTCGAACTGCTGCTGCAGGCTGTTTTTCTAAAAGTGTCTGAGAAACGTGTAACTATACACTGGCTCTTATAGTTATCAGATCTCTCCATAAAGTAGGGGATAAAAAATACAATGTAAATTCACAACCAATTTCAAGCTCTAAAAAATAGTTGTGAAATATTGTGTTGTTAGTGAAATAAACCCAATCTGTTTTATAATTATGGTTAAAATCAACTTACAGTACTCTGATCAAAATGTATTTCTGTGTTCGTATGCGTATGCGCGCGCGCTCGCGCGTGTATATTAATAAATATTTGTGTTTAATTAGTTACATTGCATAAGTCTTTCCAGGGTTTATAATAATATTTAAATAATTTGTTTGAACGAATTTCTTGATGTTGCGTGCTTGGGGGGCTAGAATTTTAAAAATGACAGATTTCCATGAAACGGAAGTCGCTTACTAGAAGTCTCATCCTCCTGGTTCATTTTATTTCTCCCCTTACCCCGTCATCCTCACCATCAGTCCCCTACACACTTCCTCTCACCCTGTCTCTTCCAACCGTGCTGCGCTAGTCTTTTGCGCACCTCCTCCCAATTTCTTGAAAAATTCTTTACAAAAAAAAAAAACACTTTCCAAGAGATTCAAATCTATGACCTCCTGCATACGAGCCAAGTATCTTACCCACTCTGCTACGAGCGCTCCCAACAAGAAAATTTCGGTTTTTTCTACGTATACTGTGGTTTGTAACTGAATTCAAATTTTCATTACTGATTATTCATTGATTTAGTTCGATAGTATGTTATTTTAACTATTAAATTATTCATTCGATTAACTACTTTTTTTTTCATTAAATAATTATTTTCTTAACTTAAATACAATTTCTTTTTTAGCAACAGCTTTTCCATACATTAAGAAATATTCATTTAATTTTCATTAATTTGTTGATTTTCAAATAAATCAATGAATAATTATTTTTCCAATATTTTCATTTTTTCCAAAGTTTTCCAACTTTTTTCCAACAGTTAACATTTTTTTCATCGTTTTTTCATCAATGGTTTATTCATACGAGGTTCTATGAATACAGTAATTAACTCAAATTCAATCATTGCGTCTTATTTATTCATAACTTTTGTATTCGAGATTAAGGTGATTTTTTTGACTTAAAAACGTTTATCACGTGTAGCGGAGGGAAAATTTAGAGAGGTATGAGGGGCGAAAATATGTAGCAACGCTGGAAATTATTTTTTGCATATAGATATACCTACATATATGCGCCTTTACGAATACTTGACCCTTTCTTTCTTATTTTATTAAAAAAACAACTTGTGGATTAATTTCAAAATTTTATAGGTTCATATAATAGTAATCCATCAAACAAAACGTTGAGAAGCTTCAACAGATCAATTACTTCTAAATGGAATTTTATGTGATTCTTCCATTAGATTAAATAATAAATTGAGGTTTTTTTTTCAAAGTAAACATATAAAAAACGGCACAGTTAAACGATCTGCAATTTTTTGTGGATATTTTTTATGCTATAACGAATGCACGTTTCAATGATATCCATCCAATGTGTGATGAACGTCCTGCAGCGACGTTCACTGCCATGTAATAATTTAATACTACCCTGTTGAAGATGAAAACACACTGTCTTGTACTGACCAGCCTGTCAACACGTCGTGCTATGGCTTTAATAAAAACTATTTTAATCTACATAGTATATTGTTACTAAGTGTTTATTTATTTGATATAACAGTATTTATTAAAGCCACACCCAATTACCAAATATCATAGTTCAAATAATAACTGCTCCAACTGCGATACATCGCACACGGTTATTTAAAATATCGTTTCATACAAAGTGTTTATTTTCGGTATTTTCATTCATATATTGTTTGACACAGAACATAATAGAGTATAACTTCATTCTTGGATGCCCAAGCACCCACTGTCCACTGGTTTAATTTATCCATTTCTTACGGTGATACGGGCGTCTAGAGTTTCTAAATTATCTAGCTAAGCTTAATAATTTTATTACAACTAAAATTACCTTCTAGGCAGACCACTGTATCACTACCAACGACTTTAAAGCTATAGCATTAATTAAATTTCGAAATATTTAGCTAAAAAAAAAGCCAAAACTTAAAACTGGAAATTGCAACTGAAAGAAGAGTTGCAACTGGAAATTGTCACTGAAAGAAAGAAAAATTAGAACTTTCAGTTGCAACTTTCAGTTTTAAGTTTTGGCTTTTTTTTAGCTAAATATTTCGAAATTAAATTAATGCTATGGCTTTAAAATCGTTGGTAGTGATATAGTGGACTACCTCGAAGGTAATTTAAGTTGTCAATAAATTCAGTTGAAATGGGTTTAAGTCCTTCAAAATCAAAATCGAAAAAGTCAAAAGAATTGACGAATGAAACAAAATGCAATGATAAACAATTAAAAATAAAAATCATGTGACAAAATAATTAAGTATAAGTTCAATCATTATAATCAATGACATTATAAATGATGAAAAATTTCAATAGTCATAATAGGACTCAGTCCTAAATACTTTAATTAGTTTTGATGCAATGAATCTTTAATTGACGGACTAAAATTATAGGAGCTTTTTTAAACATTTTTTTTCTTAATACGNAAAGAAATTTAATTTCAAAAAAAGTAATGAAATAAAAAATGAAATCAAATCAAAAAAGACATGAAAAAATACGATGGAAAAAAAACGAAATAAAAAATGAAATGAAAAAAAGAAGATTAAATAAAAATAAAAAAAGGAATGAAAGAAAAGAAATTACAAAAAAATTAAAAGAAGCAAACCACGGGGCATAAATGGGTCATTACTCACGGTAAGAACGAAGTTCTTTAAAGATGAGATGAGTGCCAAAAAATAAATAATTAAACATGAGATATGTATCAAAGAACATTATAAAATAAAGAAACTCAATTTCTCAGGTAACAAAGAGGTTGCGAGACCCATAGGAAGAACGAAGCTCTATAAGAATAAGTAGTGCATTCATGTAGTTCAGTAAAACTAAAACTATTTGTATATATTATATGTATTATACAAAATGTATTTATGCACGACGTACTGACGAAGTTAAACCATCGTCAGTACTGAACTAATTCTTTTTATTTGTTCTTCAAGTTTTTGTTTTACTGAACTACATGAATATAGTACTTATTCTTATAGAGCTTCGTTCTTCCTATGGGTTTCGCGACCCCTTTGTTACCTGAGAAATTGAGTTTCTTTATTTTATGATGTTTATCGACACACATCTCATGTTTAAAGAACTTCGTTCTTACCGTAGGTCCCATAACCTATTTATACCCTCTGGTTTGCTTCTTTTAATTTCTTTTATTTTCATCATTTTATACTAAAAATTGTGATAAATTAGATAAAAATTAAATTAACAATAATATTTAAAATAAAAATAAGAAGGTATCATAAACGCCTTACTTATTTTGTGATTTTTCTTAATTTGATCGTTTTTAAAAAATTGACTATTTTCATGATATCGATTTATGAGATTTTTTTCGTTAATTTAAACAATTTTATTATCAACATTCTGGATGGTTGTAAAATTTCTTACAAAAAAATTTATATGAAGAAAATTTTCTTAACTAAATGTGTAGGTATGTGTTTTTTAAATTTATTATGAATATTAACGTTGGTCCTTAGATAATTAGAATAATGTGGGTTTTAAATATTGAAGGTTGCCTAAACCTTAAGTGAAAAAAAATGTAGTCTCTGAATTTCAAAAAATTATAAAATTAATTGAAATCTTTTAATGTAATTCGTAAGTATGACTAATGGTACATACTCGCATCCACGTACGTTTTATTATTTTCAGTTGTATTTAAGTATTCTATAAAAGAAATATGATTCCCAAATTTTGAGTTCTTAGCACTAGCAGTAATCTAAAAATAAAGAAATGTACTCGAGTGCATCAGAATTGTCCAAGGAAACTTTGTGATAAGATTTAGATTTACTATAGACATACACACCTACACACATTCGTACACACCTACATCACATATAGATACACACCAAAGCACAGACTGATCTTTTAATCGGAGTATGGTATTGTAGTTCTAAATTTTTGGAAACACATTAATGTCGTTGCAATTTCTCTATAACAATGCTTTTCCTATGAAGAATCAAAAGTATTATTCTTAAGTTTTTTAGCATGACCAAAGTTTCTGATTTATAGTCATTTTGCTCTGATTATGTTATTTCTGTTTTCTATAATTGCCCTTTTTAATACCGTGATTTTCAAGTGAAATTGTAGATTGATGCCTATATTTTTTTATGAGTACAAAATCTAGATAAGAAAAACCGTATACCGTTTGTGTTACCTATGGGTTAAAAAAAAGTTCAACAGTTTTCTGTCTATTTTAAGATTCATAATTCAAATATGCATCTTTATAAGCTAGAATTAAAATAGCTTGTAAGTAAATATATTCTAACATTGTTTATTACTTACAGGAATGGGTATGTACTTAAACTCTTTAAGACACAAATCGCCTGACAAATTATACAATGGACCTGGCGTGGTTGGTAATGTTTTAATTGACCATACGGCTACAATAGGAAAAGACTGTAGAATAGGACCCAACGTTACGATTGGCCCAGGAGTCACACTTTCAGATGGATGCTGTGTTAAACGAACAACAATTTTAAGAGAAGCAATAGTTAAAGAACATTCTTGGCTCGATAAGTAAAACTCTTAGAAGATGCTATATTTGAAATTACTTTTTAATGCATTATTACAACGTTAAAGACTTGAATGAAATTATTTTAGATGTATCATTGGTTGGAAAAGTGTGGTTGGTCGTTGGGTCAGGATGGAGAATACTACTGTTCTCGGGGAAGATGTTATTGTAAAAGATGAATTATATGTTAACGGAGGTCAAGTACTACCACACAAAAGCATTGCAACATCTGTTACAGAACCACAAGTAATTATGTAAAATAAATTAGCACACACCAAATCCTGCCAATGTTAATGAACGAATATATTTGTAAAATATGAAAGACAACTACCAAAATCAAACTCACATAAATTGTGGGTAAATAACTGCATTCAACCAGCAAAAATTGGATATTGTTACCTAACATAAAATCTTATGAGTACTCTTTAGTAAACTTTGTATTAAAAGATAATTTGTTCGTTATTTAACTGACTATCGATCAGTTGTAATGAGATAATCTAAAACCTATTTTCACGAAGTTATATAGCAAAAATCGCCATTTTTAATGTTAGTTATGCAACATTATGAACGTTTACATTTTTAAATAAAAATTTCTCAATTTAACCACTTGCAACGATTTTTTCCTAACATTAAAAATGACATTACAAAACGATAATTAATTTAAAAATTGAATTAGCTGCCCTGAACCTTGCAGTAAGGGACAAGAGGAGAAAGAGCAGGAGACGGGTAAAGTTATACAGTAAGCAGATTAACTTGGGCCTGTGAATGTGCGTAAATCGGAGTCTGTTGCGACGATCCATTTTTTTGTTTTGTTTTGTGGTAAATGCGTGAGTCAGGAGTATTTTTTCCTTGCCTTTCAGCCAAAGAAGTACAAATCTCGTTGGAGCATATCCTTCAGGAGCCGAGAGGATCAGTACTAGGTCGACGACAGTCTGCCTAGGAGAATTGGCTGCAGTCGATCACAAGAGACACGAGTAAGAACTCCTACTGGCTTTACCGTGTATACTCTCCAACTCCTTGGTGTAAAAGAATATGGATACTCGCGACTCGTGAGTATCTGCTACCAGGTGTTTCTTTTATAGGGCAGCGGTTCTTGTTTAGCCTGCGTGCGTCTGCCGGTATCGAGATATTGTGCCTTGATTTCGTAAAGCTTCTATGCTTGACGTACATTCACACATCTACAAATAAACATTTTTACATTTTTTATTTTATTTTGGATGTATTCATTCTTTTAACCAAAGTGTTACTCTTAAATGTGCCCCACTTCCTCCTTTGTTCTGTATTGCTACTGTTTCGAAAAGTGATGGCTAAAGCTGTGTACTTAAGAACGGAGCCAACCTTAGAGGATTTGCCACCATTCGATAGAGGTGCCGATTCTCCCTAGTCCTAAAAAGGAAACACGATCCCTGAGAACCGTCACCGGTCTCGAGATCTCCTTTTTACACTGAGAGAGGATTAATGGAGCCGCCTCACCATGGCTCTACTAGAGCGGATCTTGTATTTTATGTGATTGGCTGCATGAGAGAGCTGAAGAGCTCCTCTCCTAGTCTACTAAAGGAAAATAGCTTCTAGTAGCGGCAACCCTGAGACTTGATTACAAATATAATTACTTGTAGATAAAATAGCTCTTAAATAGGTTGTTTTTAATATTATATTGATTATGAGTCAAAAATAAATCATGGCAATAATTAATATAAGATAGCTTAAAGCAAATCTGATTGGTTAATTTAAAAATTATGCTTATTAATCGTCAGCCTTATAAGTATAAGTGAAAAACATTTAGTTTATAATAAAATCAATGCAGTTTATTGAATAAATTAATTTGACTACTATACTTCAATGCAACATACGTATAATATTTTTTGTATGCATACACCAGGCTCAATGATTGGCAAACATTCGTAATTTACTAGTAAATGTACAAAAAAATGTCTTGTCCTATTTATAAATAAGTCGTTCGATTTCTCCAATTAATAGTTTCCTTTGAGACATGTTAGTCATAATAAACGTACTAATTATATTTAATACTGTTTACTTGAATGAATTCATAACTTACATTGTCATGCAGTTTTTTATTGATAGGGCCCAGTAAAAATTGTTCTTGGAACCCAATCCTGTAGCAACTTGAGTAAATCGTAAATTTTGTTTCATCGTAACGAAATATAAAATATTTATAGTATTACTAGATTATACGGCTATTGCTTTGGTTGGACGGTGTCGTGTTTCAAAGCGCATGGATGAGTATTAGGTACGTGCCCACACTCTAACAAAATTCCGTTATAAAGTTACGTAATAATGAAGGTGATGAAATTCAGATTATAAATCTCTAATTAATTCGTCAAGAAATCGATAAGATTTCTGCACCTTCTTTGATTATTTGTTCATTTGTAATAATGTCCGTGATTGTTCACAAAAGCTTTAACAAAACCTGATTTTTATTATGTTCACTAAAATCTTTATTATTTATTGAATTAATCAAGTTATAGACAGGGTTTTAGATGCAGGTATTTTAAGAGTAAAGTATGTTTTTAAGTGAATATGTATATACATTAAGTACCTTGTACCTATATGTAACGTGTTGAAACAAACTCTTTCTAGAACATCATACATTATATCAAATGAAAATTTTTTATCAATTTTATAATTGAATACTCGTTTAAACGCGCAGTTTACTTTAATGCCTGTATTTTTAACATCACATTTTTGACGTCATTAGTGTATTTTTGCTTTGTTCTCAGCAAAGAATCTTTTCCATACACAAAAATTTAGAAACATTAGTAGCATAAATTTTTCAAAAAAAATTTATATTAAAACATTCGATAAAACCTGCAAGTCAAGTTGAACCCGAGTTTTACTCGACCAATCTCTACACGTTTTACTCAATCAATTTCTATAACAATACATTTGCTTGAAAGAAAATTCATTTCATTAACGAGTTTTCTGAAAACAGATTCGTTATTTGTTTTTTATTCTCAAAATGAGATGAAAAAAAAAAAAATTGCATATTAGTGGGTAATGTGAGGGTGAAGGTATACCAGCGAAGCGTAGACGACGCCAAATTTATTTTTTCCTGCATGGATTCCGAATGGATTACCCACTTAAAGCCGATTTAAATACAAATGTAGTGTTAAAACTAAATTTGTTATTAACATTCTTTCATACTTACTTTTCTAAAAATTTGCGTGAATAAGATTTGTTGTTATAAATCTTTCTAAATTTATACTCTTCGTATAATTAATAATATTACTTAATATCTGTCAAATTTTTAAAATTATTTTCAATGTTTTTTGCGAAAGTATTCATGAGGCATACAAAAATTTTTAATTGAATCATGTTTAACTTAAAAAATAATTTTAGAAAGATTTTTCGATTTATATCAATTTTTTCTCATTGACTTTAAAATTATAAGTTTTTTTCAATAAGTTTGAATCATTTGTTTTCAGTAGACACTGGATATAGTATTGTAGTATGCTCCTGGAAAACCATTTTAAGTTTAGCGATCGTTTGATTTAAAATATTTTTGTTTAACGATCGTTTCATTTAAAATGTTTTTGTTTAACGATCGTTTCATTTAAAATGTTTTTGTTTAACGATCGTTTCATTTAAGAAATTTTTGTTCGTTAGGATTTTCGAAATATTGTTTTTTAGTGGCAGTAGAAAAATACTCATAATAAAATTGTGCAAAAGTTGTATAATTTTTTTCAACGATACATGTGGTTAACATAGGATTTTTGTTAACATGTAAAATAAATTGCAAAAGATTATTATCCATCCTGAGTAAATCCATATTCAAAATGTTTAATGAATATCATTTTTCTTCATCGAAACTTATGTGTCATGAACGTCTAACATTTTCGGAACGGTCATTGCACATGAAAAGTGAAAAAAATGTGATAGTACTGCAAAAACTTAAATGATGCTGATTATAGAAAGTTATACATTATTTTTTGAAGGTAAATCTTTGTATTTTTATTGAAAGTTTAGAACTTCCTTGATTTTACTTTGATGGAAGTACTTAACAATTTTTTTAACTATACCAAACATTCTCGAAGTAATTTTTTGAGAAACATCCATTTTGAAAGATATGGCTATAACATGAGTAAGTTTTGATTAAGTTTCAAGTTATTATTTTATAATCTCCTAGCAACTACAAAATGAATATTTTTAGGAAAAAACAAACAAGTGCGTATTTAAATTCGTATTTTTAATATTTTGTTAGCTGTATGGATGTGTGGGTATGTGATCGGGCAACAAAATGTACAACACTGTCGTTTTTATTATAAAACACGGACAGGTTTATACTCACTATCTTCAGTGTATGCTATCTTTAGTCTTTACAATCAAGGATACAATCGTAAGCTGCACTGAAATAAAGCAAGATCAAATCAAAAGGAAAATACGAAAAGCAGGGAGTGCGTGTCGACAAACTGAGTGACCGCGTGAGAGTGAGTAAACTATAGGTATTAGACGCTGAAGTGCAGCGTCACGGCGTCTCGTCTTCTTGCTATTGCGCATGCGTTGGAATTCAGTTACGAGCGCCAAATATACATCTAACACTCCCTCCCGTTCGTATCTGAATTTAACAAAACAATATGAAATTTAAAAAAATGGGAAAACATATTGGATTATTAAAACTGAGTAATCATATTTGAATGAATAAGTAATCAGCTGAAGATGTCGAACACGTTGGCTTCTTGATCACTCATTGGGGTTGGTTGTGACTAGCCAAAACATACACAGAGAGATACATTAATTGGCATGTCTACTATCATTATCTATCTATTATTAATTTATTGATTTTACTATCTCAAGTTCAAGTTTAATTATCATGCAATTTACACTGATTAACATTCAAAATTTCTTTTGTTAGTCTTTCATGCAGTTCAAACGGCAAGGGTTTTGTAAAAATGTCTGCTAGTTGTTCCTTGAATGGAATCCATTTAACGATTATTTTTTCTCTGGATACACATTCCTTAACGTAGTGAGCCTCGATCTTGGTCATGTGTCTCAGTCTTTTGCCACCATATATCTTAGCACTTGCTCCGGTGGCTTTGTTGTCACGCCAAAGGTCCGCAGGCAACAGAATGTATGACAGAATTAAGCTGATTGACTGTTCCAATCCTATCAGCTCCTGCCTTGCATCTCACATCGCCACGTATTCTGCCTCGCAGGTTGAGATTGCAACGTAACTCTGTTTTCTGGTCTTCCAAGCAACTGTATCGCAATACAATCTTATGAGGCATCCACCTGTCGTAATTGAGCGTTTACAGTCTGCCAAACTCGCATCTGAAAAGACTTACAGCTTATTTTTCCGGCCTCTGTAGGTTAATCCTAGAGTTCTGGTGTGTTGCAGATATCAAAAGACTCGTTTGACTATTCTCCAGTCATCTTCAGTTGGGCAGATTTGGTGTCTGCTTAGTACATTCGCACAGTACGAGATGCCTGGTCTGACTGTATTAGCCAGATACAGCAGGCTTCCAACTGCTTCTCTGTGAGGTACATTTTCTTCAGTTTTAGTTTTGTTCAGTTCTCCAGTTTCTTCCGATTCTTCTCTGTCTTTTCTTTGCCGATTCAGGGCTTGATTTGTCACCATTGGT